TTTTTATCAGCACACACTTACTAACTGAATCAATAAACCGGTAGACTGAACACTGAAAAAAAACATTATTTCTATTAGAAACAAATACATATACCTATATATTGATATGGATTTTTCTCTGCCCTATACTTTTTATCCAACATTGTTATGCAGGTAATTAAAAAAATTCCTACATGGAATTAGATGTCGGAGGATTCAAGGAATCAAATCTTTAGTAATTCAATATGAGGGATACGTTAGTCCTTGAAATAACTGGAATGGGGTTTATGTATATTGCATACAATACAATCCTAACTATATAATCTTGCATAAAATGTTTCACTGTAATTATATTCATGTAATTTTTAGAGATTAACTCTACCTGGTGTCCATCTGGGGTTACTGCTAGAGGCAAGCCCCAAATAAAAGGGAGGGTTAGGCATGGGGTTATCGACTCCATCCCGCGGAAAGCAAACTTCAAGAAAATATGTTAAGTACAAAATTCCGGTCAAACCAAATAAACTCTACTTTAGGAATTGGAAAGTCTCCATTTGGAAGAGTCATGACACCTCATGGTAAAAGCTGAGTTTCTTCAGAAGTCATGAAACGGATTTCTCTTCTAACAGCGAGACCAACAATTAATATACGGATATGCAGTGTTTGTACAATGTGACAGACTGGCATAATCATTCAAATTGCCGTGAAAATGAAAAGAAACAATCTGGTGGCGCTTACTATGAGTTAAACCCATTGGAAACAGGCTGGAAAAAAAGATAAGCTTCAGGAGATATGTTTCTGTACTCCAAAAAAGAAGAAAAAACTCACACACAAAAAGAGACGCATTAAGGCTTTTCAAAAAGGCATGAAAAGCACTTTTGGGGTAAGAATTATATAGACCCACGATCACCAAACTATACTTCAAGGCAAGTAAAGAGAGGATTGCAGTGAAAGTGGTTCAATGCTATACGTTTATCAACGACTGCAACCAAGGCGACAAAGATCAGTTCTATGAGAGACCGCAGTCAACCGTCGGGAAATGCCAAACAAAGGACTATTCGGATGGGAGATATGAGTACCAAAGTTGGGTTGGGCAACACTGGATATAAAGACATCATGAACTGGGAGAAAATAACAAGGACAGTGCGATATTCGCGAATATGTGTGCCTTCAACAAAGTGATTATAGACGGCACCATATTCTCACACAAACGTAAACATGAAGCTACATATGTTTCATTGGATCACACTACGGAGAACCAAGTCAGTCACATCTGCATCATTAAAAAGTTCGGAAGGACCATGGAGGACATACAAACAAAGAGAGGACATAGTTTCCGACCACTACCTAGTGGTTGCTAAAATGTAATTAAAGCCAACTGAGCGAATAACACCACAAAAGCTTATTACGGCATTTCTTCGGGATACTGGTAAACTCAACGAATGCAATATAGCCCTCAGCACTAAGTTCCAATCCTTTCACGATCTACTCAATGATGAGGAAACTAACATGAAGTACAACTGCACAAGGATCAAAAAAGTAATAAGTTCAATAGGTCATGAGGCTTTAGGTCAAAGGATTCACCATCGTAAGGAATGGATCTCTGTTGATACTCTGAATAAGTTCCAACACGGAAAGTACCGAAAGATAGAAATCAATAACAGCGGAATTAGAGCAGAGAAAGTCAAGGCGCAGGCTAAATACACAGAAGCAAACAGGTTAGTGGAGAGGAGAATTAATGCTGATACACGGAACTATGTTGGAGATCTAGCAATGATAGCACAAAAATCTGCAAGAGGAGGAAACATGAGGAAACTATAAAATACAACGAAGTTATTGGGAAAATACAGTAAACTAGAACGACTAGTCAAGAACTGAATGAACTAACCAATCATTTAGATCCGGAATCAGCGAGACAAGTAGGTAGAGCTTTTTGAGGAACACCATACCCACCGGCCTTCGAAGCCGCACCTGCAGATTATCCAACAAATGTTACCCTATCAATAATCCAAGTGAAGACTGGTGTCAAATAAGGTTGCTTACTATCACTCTTTTTCTTTCTTCTGGTTGTGTCGACAAGCTGGGATTTAGATATATTTGATTTTCACAGACGACCAAGTTGTTCTATCCCACACACAGCAACAAATGCTGATGAAGACGGACAGTGTAGCAGCAGCCCCTGCAGCTGTAGGTCTTAATATGTACAAGAGAAAAAACAAGATCACTAGATGTAACATAACATGCGCCAACCAAATCACACTCGATGGAGAAGTTTTGGAAGATTTGGAAACCTTCACATACCTAGACATTGATAAACAAGATGAATCTCATGCAGATGTGAAGATGCGGATTGGCAAAACAAGGGGAAAACCCTCGAACTGGACAGGACACACACTGGGGTAATCACCCAACTGCTAGAAGACGAGCCGTAACTTGGAATCCTGGAGACCAATGGAAAAGAGGTAGACCAGAGAACACATTGCTCCGAGAACTGGCGACACATAAGATAAGAATGAGTAGCAGTTACGATCGAGAATATAAGTACGGATATTAGTAACGAAAACAACGCGATAGCAAAAAAAGTTGTTGATCAACTTCACCAAAAACTTGATAGCTTGCTTCTTTCTTACGATTTTGCTAATAATTCTGACAATGAGATCAGAAATGAAAAACCAAATAAGAAATATACGCAAAAACCCCTAAATTTTAGTATTTATATGGCTTGTTTTGTAGCACATGTCTGAAATTAACCAATTAAAATTCACCACATAAGTTGCATTAAAACTTTTTATTAGTCGATGAATTTCATGATAAACTACACCTTTATAACAATGTTTACACTCTGGTATCAAAAATTAAGCATTTGTCATTCATATTGGTAGACCTGTAGATGCTACAATGTTGCTATGAAAAGAGATATAGCAGCTCGCATACATTTGTGTTTGTTGACGTTTATTTTGGTTAAGCCTTTTGACTAACCTATTTAACAGACTGCTTCACTCGAACGGCCACAACTTACTTACACTTTTGTACTTTTATTATTGTGAAGTTTGTATGTGCACGTATGGTTGAACATTGCTTACAGCCTACGCACATTTCATTCTACTGGGTTTAATGTTAGTTGCTTAAATAATTCGGCGACCAGTTCATTTTCCGACATATATGTATACATTTTAATCCTGCTCATTCTCTCCTTGGCATTTGCGTATCATTTCGCTTACGTTTTGTATGCCTCTGGTTTTGCGATTGGTGTGCTCCGAAAGTAAACGCTATCAACAGTTTGTTCTCGTTTTCTGAATTCTATACACTGTTGGGTGTTATCTAGTATCGGTTATTAGGGCGAGCATTTAACGGAGTTTAGTAATTATGCCGAATATCCATCTCCACAGATTATATAAATATTATTAGAGAATTTTTGGTGGGAAGATGAACTTTTGAAGTGTTTAATTTCTCTAGAAAAACGGTTTCCGGAAATCATACCACTTAAGGAGTCTAATGAATAGTTAATTAAAGGAATTATTAGAAAAAATCAACAAAAAGTTGCAAGAGATTTGTGGAGTTTGTTGAACGTCATAGTTGACATCACGAATTAACTAGTCAGACAAACGTTAAGAATCAGGAAGCGCCGAAAATGTATTTCATTTTCATATGGAAATCTTCAACAGTGTTTGAATGTTATAGGTTTTAGCGGGAACAACTATGATTATAGGCTTCAATGAATTTCTTAAAGAGGTAGCGACTAGTTTAGCTATAGTTATTACATTTATAAATCACTTAATTTGTTCAATAGTTCCTTCGATTTTGTTGTTTGTTGGTGATACGACGAGGTAGAGGATGACAATATTTAATGATGTTAATAACTCACTGAGTAAAGAGATATATCTCATATGTATGTGGTTTAGTTCTGTTCAAGAACAATAGAAAGTATTCAAATGTACCGTGGAGTTTTTTGTTTATGAAGGTGGAAATAAATGCACAGCCTACAGTGATCAAATATGCAGACTTATGGCATTATAGGAGATTTTGTTTATCACAAGATGAAAAACAATGCAAAATATTGTTCATTTGCAGTACAATAGCCTCAAAGACTGGTCTGTGGGTAGATAGTTACTTAGCCAGTTTTTGAAAAAATGTGAGATTTCCCGAAAATATATTTAAATTACCTGTGCATCATTATATACGACAGCTTCTAATCTTTTGCATAATAATATTTTGTTTGTAAGAAATGTATAATCTTTATTTAAATTTACTAAAATCTGAAGATTATCTGATAACGAATTTCAAGTTTTAGATTCCTTCATTTCTTTGCTTTCCAGAATACATCAACACGAGGACAATGTCACAAGCTGAGAACCAGCTCCCTGATAACTAGTTACCTACTTTTCCATCAGTATATCAACAGGTGGTGATAGTTTCACTTAAAAATGCATTTAAAACAGTGCTGGTTCGGCTGAGAAACTGAAAATTCCGGAATTAACACTGGCCTCGTAATCTTCATTACCAACGATTGTAATTAATTTAGTTTATAGCTTTCGTCTCAATAATGAGAAAAAAGCACTTGTGCTACTTAAAAAAGTTAAAAGTAAGCTAATGAATATGCTAAAAGAATTTCAGAAATGCTTCAATTTAGATAGAAGTTTTTGTAATCCGCTCCTTAAAAACAAATGTGATATTGTCTATGGGAATCATTAAGCACACATAGGAGATAGCTAGGTGAAAAATATTTTATAAAATATATTTACTGTGCTTTATTTTTGAAATATGTTACGCAAAACATTATGTAAAAGGTTAAATTGTGAGAAAATTGATGATTGCTCTTCAATAAAGACAGTCCCTCTTTTCTATTACATTGGTTTTAAGGAACTGAATAAAGTAATTTTTGATGAGTTACACATTGAATTACACAAATAATCTCCACCATGTACAGTATTGTTGATAAACGTTCCAAATTGTTGGTTTATAACCCAAATATGGATACAATTTGAGGAAATTAAAAAAAACCGACGTCTTTTAAAAATTTACTTTCATTTCTCTTTTAATTGTTTTGTTTTGGGATTTATTGTCAAATTCGAATTCAACCGAGGGAAGTGACTGCTTGAAATTGGTAGTCTAGTCATTGTTCGTAATTGTGGATTCGTGTTGATTCGTAAATTATGCAACTGATTTATAAGTAGTTTATTGATTGTACTGGTCCATAACTGTTTAACTCCATTATCATTTGATTTAAATGTGTACGTGGTTCCATAATTCTCAGTAAATAAAGAGAAACATCGGTCATGTGAATTTGAAAATAATCCGATTTTATTTAGCTTGGAAATAGAAAGAAAAAGATCATTCAATGCAAAATTCCCATAATAATAGAACAGGCATGAAAGAAGAATATTTTTTTCACTGATAGTAGTAATGATAATGATAGACACAACAGTAGTAACAATACAGTATTCAGTTCTTACATTAGGAAGGATAAAGTGGATCAATACTTTATGTCTTGTAGAGGTAACTTTATGCTATTCTCCATGTAAAATGAATACTACCAAGTATTATTGGTGTTCTCTCTTGACATGAATGACCCCCAAATAAACTTGCGAAATTCTTTTCAATGTTGATTAGTAGAAGCACATAATGTTTATTAACTTAAAGTTATTGTGGAAATTTTTCAATGAAAATGCCTGAATGTTTATACAATTCAGTGTAATTAATAAATATGGGATCGAAAATTTCTCCACTAATCGATCAGTGGTCGATAGTTTTACTATTTAAAAATCATAATTAGCATTTAGAGTTTCCCTCCAAATTAACACTCTAGAATACTATAGATATTGTCAAACCATTTAAAAAATATCACTTTTACATTGTCAAGTATAAAATACAGAACGAAGAGGAGATTACGTGCTTACTTCATTTATATGAGATAAAAAATTTTTTGTCTGCCTAAATTGTTATTTTTCAAACAGTATTTGAATATCAATATTACGGTGGACAGATGTTTTAGATTTTGATGTTCAATAACAATGTTAATGAATGATTTATTTTTAGCTGTTTGGAAATCCTGGAAAACAATTTTTCAGTTTAAATTTCAAGTAAATTCTATCATACCTCAACGTAGCACATAGTCAAAATTTCATTTAGATATACAAGTCTTGAGTGTATAAAAATTTAATTTTCCGTCAAAATAAGTTATCGTACTTGTTGGGCATGAAGTAAACAAGGTTACTTATATGTTGAGAATGCCATCTGAAAGAACAAATATCATTGACTTGTGTGAACATCTGTCAAAATAGTGGGAGTTTCAACAGTATTAGATTGAAATTTCTGTTGAATGTAAGTACTCCTGCCAATTTTTAGACCATCAACTGGTAGAACACATATTGCTATGGAATGAAAAAGCAATTCATTCCTGAACTATTTTTCAATATAACTAAGCGCCCAAAGAAATGGCAGTGCATCTTTTCTTATAGTAAAGCAATAGTCATTAAAACGGCACCCAGTCAAACAAATAATGCAAATGAATTAATTCTAAAAGTAATTGAAGTTGTAGATGTATATAGTTGGATGCTGACTGCCTGAAGGTGAAAAATACTAGCAGCTAGTTCTGAAACTGATATGTTTGGTCCCTGTTTCGGTAGGAAATATGTGCTCTTGAAGAGTTCCATATTAGCGTTTAACAACTTTTAAGCGTGTCCTATTTTTCCACCGTTATTTAACATAACTTAGTCCATGATGTAAACTACAAAGTTAACAATATGCATAACTACTGATATTGCAAACTTACGCACAATTCTTCTTCCACTTCATATGACTTATTACAACTAAGATTGGTATTATGTGAAAAATCAAAGAAGGCCATATAATCATCTAAATTCGGAAATTGACTTTCAATGCTGTAAAATAAACAATTACTGTATAACATTCAATAATATAAATAATTACCCTTTATTATTCGAAATCGATTCTTTAAACGAAACACAGTATTTTGTCAATAGTAACATTTCAGTAAATAAGATTACATGAAAATGTCGTCTTGACTTAATAGGTTTGATGGTTCGGTTAACAGTGAAATCAGCTTCTAATAAAATATGTCCTAACTTTGATGGTGCTACCTAGAAATGAAAATAAAACGATAACAGTTATAGCAGTATCCATGAAACTGAACAAAATGAACTATAAAGTAAAAAGGTGAACTTATAACTTATGGCAATGTAATCTATGAGTCAAACCACATTAATGTTATCTATTGAATGCAGGAAGAATTAAAGATTGTAAATTACTGATAAATAAATATAAGGGTTTTGAAGAGAATGTTAAACTTGAACAGTTTACATCACGGATTGGTCTAAGTTAATTGATGATTAGGAGCTGAGAAGCACTAGGCAAGTTTTTCATTCCAAAATGGGACTCCTTGTCATTGTCACAACCAATCCACTTGAGCTACACATTTTGATTAGCATCTCCTTGTCATCCCATATCCACAGCCTAAAACGTAGTCGAACTCAGAACTTTCTTCCTTGTGACAAGCTCTTCAATTCTAGACAAGCCGGCCTCCATTAGTTCACAAATCTGGTTTTAATCAGCATGTGATATTGTACTGAAATCTACCATTACCTGGTGTAGATAACTCTTTCTTACTCGAAATGCTTAAACGTAACTAGTCATGGCTGTCTGGCTCTTCCTGATATTTAGTAGTGACTTAACTCAAACCAGTCAGTGATGCAAACTATGAAAATAACAAACTAACTGATAACAATGTACTCGTCTAATTGGGAATGGGTAGCAAATCCATTTAATATGACAATTCTATATTGTCTGATGGATGCAGAAATCAGTAAATATATATATATATATATATATATATATATATATATATATATATATATATATATATATATATATATATATATATATAAATATATATAGAAAAAACCTATTCAAGTATGAACTTTTTCCGATGTTTTCCATGAACACAACTTCAATATACAGATATATTTTCGGGCAGAGTTTTGGAGGTTTGTGTTTTTACACATTTGAAATCATCAATCAGTCATTGTTAGACCACCATTAGAAACCTGGAAGCACTGGACGGCCGTTTCGTCCTGGTATGGGACTCATCAGCAGTGCGCATCCACGACTCCTGCACCTCACAGGATTCGAACCCGGGACCTTCGGTATTGTGTGCGAACGCCTGCGAGGTGCAGGAGTCGTGGATGCGCACTGCTGATGAGTCCCATACCAGGACGAAACGGCCGTCCAGTGCTTCCAGGTTTCTAATGGTGGTCTAACAATCATTGATTGATGATTTCAAACATATAAATATATGTTTAAATTAGAATTGATTTTCTTATCACTTATTATGTGACCTTTGAACTCTACTAATGACAGAACATAGACTTAATCAGGCACAACTCATTCATAATGAAAGCTTTGTAACTGTAGAACCTATCCTTTTATTTATGAAATTCAGACCAATTTGTCACTATATTTGCATCCCTAAATCTGAGTAAACAGTGAAAAGAGCATATTGTTTTAAAGATTAGAATGATGACTATCGATCCATAAATATGTGGGTGTATTACGTAATGATATTTAACAAAAGAAATGAAATTCCAACTTGTTAATCCAGTAGTATGTCTACGATAATGTTTTAATTATTTCATAGTCAATAAAATAAATTTGATTGACATACTCACTGACATGGAATAAGATTCTAAATTACCTATTTATCAGACCAGAAATGATTGAACAGTACTATATCATAATACACTTCATAAATGCAAATATTTTCTGTTGTAGATACATCTGGGAAATTGTATGATTTTGTAAAAATCTAGTCTGCTTAGTCCCACCTAAGTGATGTCTTCAATCTCCTCCAGTTTTCAAACCGGAGCAACCAACCATGGACTGTAACTTGGATAACAGTGAATTTTTTAGTTTCAACTGAACAACTAATAACTTGAAGTGTAACTTATATTTTGATGTAAAGTATCAACATTTATTCAACAGAGTTAACTGTTTTACATCAATGAGTGAATTTTTTTAATGGATATACCTTGTTAACTTGTTATTAGGAAAGCTTAATAACTATTAAAAAAGATTATGATAATATTTGTTGATAATTACCGTTAGACCACGCAGCTTCATTGTTACATTTACTGTGTCGCATATTTTATTGAATGTTTGTCGAGCATCGTCCAGGTATTGACTTAAAATTTTAAAAATACGAAATTATTTCTTCGAATGATTATAAACTTTAGGTAATAGAATTCATAAAATATATCATGTACAAAGAAGTTACAAAATTAGTTATTCAACATTGTAGGATAAGTAACATTACCATAGTGGTTAGATCAAGTTGATCATTTTAGTTTATTTCCCATCCTTTTTTATTTTAACAGAATGTAAGTACGAGAAAATACAAGGGTTGAAATGCATGGAGGATTTATTAAATTTTTGAAGATAGTCGTCAGTTTCAAAGAATTTTTCTTGCAGATTAGATATTAATGACAGATCCCATCTCATTAACCTCTACCTTAGTGACAGATAAACATCTCCATCGAAAAGCATTTTGAACTTAACATTGCTTTTCATCAAACAATTTGTCTCTAGAATTATCAAAATTCTAGTCGAATACATTCAAAAGCAAATTTAATCCACATTATCGATTTTAAATTTTTAAAGCTTTCACTCAACAATTAGCGGAAACACTTTTCCAAAGTTACCTTTAGATTAAATATGGGATGAAATTTATCTAGTGGAATGAAACTATTGATGATCGATAGATGCATACCTATTCCTGCTACTATTCATGAAGCATAGACAGCCCATCAGAAATCTAATATTCATGGTGTGAACATTACTCTTTGATTCCTAACTCTGTGTTCTTTCGTCTGTCGACATTCTTCTACCTTGAGGATCTCAAGTTAATGTTGAGATTTCTGATTTTATTTCTGGTTGACAGTCCTTCTGAATTCCGGATATTCTTCACTTGCAGGGATTTTATCCTTCCTTTGAAAATTTACACTTTCAAAACTGGAACAGATCCTCTTTTTTATCAATGATGCTTACTACATTAATAAAGTTACGCAATCGATCATAATGAAATCCAGCTTGTTTGTTTCAAACTGGAGCGTCTATTAAATCTTTCATTTGATACTGAGAGACTATTGAAACTACATTCGATGCCGGTAGTAGAACGCTTCATCTATAGTGTTAAAACTCATCACTATCTCCTTAATTTGGTATTTCGATGAGGTATCTAAGACGTTCTGGAGTAGCAGATGTAGCAGTATTATCATTAGCATCAGATCCAACAAATGATCCAGTAATCATTAAAATTAACTAATAACGCGTGTAAGAAATAAGATTGTGCACAAAAAAAGTTTTCTAATGAAATTGAAATTTACCGGTTAGGTGTATAAAAAACAACTATCAAACTATCTTGAAGTTTGTATTGGAAAATCTGAAACAATTCTTGTTCTGAACAAACACTATAGCAACCCGTCTTTCCAGTCTGTTGGTACTTGTTTTTCCTCCTGAATATTTCTGATGAGAACGTAGATCGTTTACACAGTTACCTTGTTGTGCGAATTCCGTGATTCATCTGATATGCTGTTTGGTTCTACTGTTTTCTGATGACCATTATTGGTGGGGTACCATCGATAAGGGAGTCTGCGTGCTCTATTCTGATATCTAGCTGTCTTATCACAGCTGTTCTATTTAATAGCTTTTCAAAGTATATCACTTCTTTGTTCAAGATCATCAGCAGTTGGTTTGCCTTCTTTGATCTTGACCGGTCGCTCTGGTCCACTGCATTCCACTTCAAGCTTTCTCTTCATGCATTTCACTTCATGATTGTCAGGTCTTCTACATATTTCCACTTGAAAGCTCTAATACTCTACGTAACTCATGTAGTTCCTTCAGTTAATTCATATCGTGTAATGGAGTTTTTCATATTATTCGGTTGTAGTCGAATGACCTCTCCTTATTTTTATTTTTTTGAATCTTACCCAAACTTTCTAAAGAGATCCATTCTTTATGCTGATACTTTTGGAGATTTAGCAATTTCTGTAATGTTTAACTTATTGCTTCTCTAATCTCTTTCCAGTCATTCTCCCTAGTGGCCTTCTCATCTTCTATTAGGTCTTGTAAGATCTACAACTGTTTGTCAAGAGCTATTGCCATTTCATCAGAATAGCTAATATTACAAAGTATAAATTAAGCTGTTTTCAGCTTTTTTAGTGCTGCCTGTTCAACTGTCGAGTGCTTTCATTTTATGAGTCAGGTAACTATTAGCTTAAACTCTTATTCACTGTCGACCTACACATTGTTATTCTGTTTTCTACAAATATCAAGGTAGTTTATCTACTTGATTGGTTACAGCATAGTAATTAATTCTTAGTGTTAGTTATAATATTTAGATAACTTTTGGTTGCATCCGCTAATCTCACTGATTTAATAGTGTTACGCATTGATGGTGTTAGGTGTTTAAAGTCAGTCAACAAGAAATCTTAAACCTAAGTTTCGTATTGAGCCAAATCTGTCACTAAGTCTTATCCAACCTCTTGTGGAAGTAATAATTAATTCAGTTTCATAGTTTCAGATATTAAAACTACATTAAATGGGTGATGATTTACTTTATATGAGACTGAGGCATTTAAACTAATAGGGTAGCGAATTTTTCATCGAAACTAATAAAAAGCTTAATCTGATCAATGATAAGGAATTACTAATTAAAATAAAAGCTTGACAGAGAATGTAGAGCAATTACTGGTTGGTTTATCTAAAAGCTTAGTCAAACTTACATATCAGACAAATTTGCTTCTTTCTGAAGCTTATTCAATAATACATGATAAGATTGAATGCGTCGTATGGGTGAGGTTAGATGAGATTTAAATAGTCCGGTAGAAATGTTGTAGTTTCCAACCGTATCATTTATTACATTTGGTTTTTCCAAAGCTACACTTTTACTTGAAACATTTTCGAAGTAACCACAAAGTCGTTCTGTTTTTTCATGAAAAAAACAATACACAGTGTATAGATCTATGAAGCAAGGCGCCTAAATTTTGAAGAAAATTATTACAAAAAAAATTTGTTAGGAGAGAATATATCGAGTGATGAAGGAAATGTTTCAAAGGAACAATTTCATTCATCATAATCGGTACATGGATTGATCTCATCGGATTTAAATCCTCTTTACTCTAATAAGAAAACTATGAGAAAATGTCCATCTTTGAATATTTTAAGCATTTTACTGTCTAACTCCGGTTAAATGAATGTTTCACACAAAATATAATTTACAAAATTTCTCTTTACTGTCATTCATGTGTAGATGAATTATTGTTGACTATCAATTATAAATGAATCGATCAATTATAAACCAATACATTTCATTCACTGTACCATTTCTTCATAGCATTTAAAGAGCAACTCAGTAATATCTGTTTCCATTCCAGCTCAATAAAATTCATAACTCACCAGCAGATTTCTGAGGAACAGTATACTTTGAACGGTCAATGAACCGACTTCGTTTTGAACAATTGAGTAAACTCATTTGCTTTCTATTTTATTGTTGAATCCAATGAATAGAGTTGGCAATACTATAATGAGCAATACTTTTAATGTTTAACCTGTCACTGATTTCTTATGCAATAGTACTATTAGAAGATTTATAATTTTATTGTCCTCTAAAGTTATTTCCTTAACTAACAATTGGCAAATAGATCACCTATTCATCAAATACTGACTTCTTGCGAGTGATTTCATTTTCACAGTGAATATCAAAGAACCAAGCGTCATTCTTGGTCTAGACAAATATACAACAGGATTGATTTGGTTTTAAAAACGCTAAAATCATGTTTCTGTTCATAATAAAATTCTTCGAGTTTTGTGTTGAACGAAATCAAATAGTTAAGGTGAACATATTCAATTGTATTGTTGACTAGAGTGTTCAGGAAGTGTCGAAAGTTCATTAGGTTTCTTTATGGTCATATGCTAGTAATAACCAACTACCTCTAGCCACACAAAAAAGTTTTTAGTTTGTATAATTTACATTTGTTAATGGTGATACTGGAACATTTTCACAAAAGTCAAGAGTGAAAGGATTATTTAACACAGTAGCTTGATCCATTATTGATATACTGAGGAACGTCAGACATATACACTATCTCAGTTGAGATAAAAGTGTAGACTAGGTATTGTAAATGATCGAATTATTCAAATTACTGGCGTAACCACTTGCATGTGGTTTAAGCAAGTCAATCTAATCATCAATAAAATATGCGTCGATTTTAGATATCATTATTTATTTCCAGTAATAAGGCAGTTTAGACATCTTTTACATAGGTGACTTTTTCAAGCTCTAATAGTTTGTATAGTAATTGCATGTAACCATAAACTATGATAATTTTTCGTCAGTAAATTACTTTCAAATAAGAATCTTTAAATAAACATACCTAATTTAAAATTGCAACTATTACTTGGCTAATAATGTTTAAAATGACTGGAAAACTGATTACATACCATCATAGAAGCCCAATATTTAATCATCTTGGCATTTCCATTACACACTTTCAATGTGGGTAGGACGTGTCTGTAATGTATGGTGGAAAAATTTGCCGTTAGCAATTGTGAAACTGGAGAGGACATATAGTTTGTAAATATTTATTTTCTGGTAAAAACTATCACGTTATCAGCAATCTGTAAATAAACTACTTCTCAATAGTTCTTTCCATTATATGTCCCTTCAGACCAAATTATTACGCAGTGAAAATCGTCTCAAAAAATTTCATCGGATAAACGTAAACCTTAATATAGATTAAAACAGCCCTTGATTATGTAGTAAGCAGTATCTTATTAGATGTTATTTTTACTAATCACGAATAATAAAATTAATTATGTAACTGTAGAATCCTTTCAAAGATAACAAATCAGAATCGATTTGTCGCTTATATCCTGCAACTGAATGATGATAATAATTTGAAATATAATACTTCTAGCTAGCAGTTTCCAAGGTTCAAATACTCTATATAAAAACAGTAAATATTTGCATCCCAAAATCAGAGACAACCGATGAGTGAATAGGAAATAACAAACAAATTGGCTGTCGTTTTTAAAGTAACCAAGCTGTCCAGAATAAACAAACAAGAATGCTTGTTCAGTAAAACGAACAAGAAACAGTGTTGGTAGGCTTACACACTCTGAGCTTCAAACTATTGCCAGTAATTATATATCACGTATAAAAATATAATAAAAACACTTATCTATAGGCATTATCAAGGAAGATATACATATTCCAAAAGCTCCACAACCAAAACAACCAGCTCAGAGAACAAAACACCACCACTATCCTAACTATCAATATCAGAAGAAATTCAGTGTATTGAAACTGCGGTGTATCAGTAAGAACATCACTGATAAATTACTGATCATAATAGTTTTGTCTAGTTTCTACTAACTTTATATCTTATCTGAAAATTAGACCTTTTTAAAAGCTATTAGAACAAATCGTTATGTTAAACAACTGTCAGCTTACATTTTATGAAACAAAAGTAATTCAGACCAATTTCCAAGTAATTTCTGTTTTAACTGAGTTAATGAAATCTGTGTAACACTGACTGATTTTTGATAGTCACTCTCTTTTTTCATTGTAACCTAAAATATAAAGAAAAACAAACGACAATTCATATAGGCGAAACAATGAAAAGATGAAAGAGAAATTTGCATAGACGGTATAAATAAACAGGAAAAGTGTATTGTTAACAATGTTGTGCTAAGAACTAGGATCCAGATAAATTGAACTGATGAACTCGAAATTTTGTTTCCAACCTCCCTCCTACTAAACTAAAACTTGCTACAAAAGTCTTTGATCAAGCAGTTGCTCAATAGGTATACATATGAACAAAAAATAGTCAGTTACAGTTTAATTATGTAAACGTGTTCTGAAAATCACATCAACTTGTCGGCAATAAATTTTACATTGTCTTGAAAACTTGGGAAATGTGGTGGTTTAGCTAATCAGTTTTACTTCATAAAACGTATTTCATTCCTGAAGTACGGTGCCTGGTTGCTGTTGATAATTTTGTTAAGTCTATTTGTTGAACATACAAAAACGGTACTCCAATTTATTAGTTTTCATATAATTGTTCAGTTTTCCCTCATACTTCTGTTAAGTAATTTGTTATAGTTGGTTAGAAAGCTACTTTTCAGATTTGATAACTTTCCATGTGTTTAAAGATCTTCGCCCTATTAAACCATTATTTAGAGATTAATAGAAAAAAGACAATTATCATAGGGAATTATAAACAGACTATAACAGGTAATAGGGATGAGTTATTTTCCAATGACTATGGATGAACTTACACATTTTTACTCAAACTATCTAAAACACATGACATGTTCATTATTTATTGATCGTCACAATATGTAAAGGTCAAATAGTCTGCTTGCATGAAGTTGAGCGAGTTTATTGGTTCCTTTCAATTTTAATATCACCTTAAAGTACTGATTCTTAAAACAATACGGACTGTAACATAACTGTTTTGAAAATTATAAAATAAACGAAACAGAGAATAAAATCGATTCATATAATAAGGGCTTTAGTCGATAATCATTTAACTTAGTAATATTATTTCTAACTAGGCTACTTAATAGTGCAGCATAAAAATCTTGAACATTTTTTGTTCATTCTGCCGGTGCATATTAATACACAACTAACCAAATAACCTAGAGTTTCTACTGATTCGTTTTAAAAGTGATAGAAATTTCTAGACAATTTAGCAAGCTAAACATCTTAAAAATGTAAGTGTTTATGGAGAAAGATATGATCTCTCAAGTGAATGGAAACTCATTATATCTTTCGTAATTATAAATTCATTAGAAACTGATTGTTAAATATAAAATATGCACTCACATCATAAACATCTTGTAACAAATTGATATACTTTATTTCTGTATGCAATAATTCTTTCCAAGCTAAGTGATATGTTGTGCTTGTGGTTATCGCTGAATACATATTCACACAATATGAATCAATCCAAATGTTAGTAGATGTTCAAAGATCAATTGTGTATTTCTCCTTTCAAATAACCATCATACTTATTGTAAAATGTAAACAAATATTTTCCACAGGAAGCAAATGAATGAGGTTAGAATGAAGTTCTATGAATAATCCAATATTGTTTGAAAATTAATTGTATAAATACTTAAAAACTGAATAGAAAAAAATAAAGAATATTTAGTACGTTCATTAAAAATGACATTGCAATACACAAAATGAATTGAATTCTAAGACCTTAACATAACGCAAAATCAATATCGGATTATTATCTAGAGTAAAAAGAAGATTTTAAGTATTAACCGCATTGAATTACCTATTGCTCATTTGGCTTTCAAAATATTTCTTACGAAGTTTGAAATACTTGTTAAAAGATTAAATAAGCTACAAGTCTTGATATATATATATATATATATATATATATATATATGTTGACTAATATCTAGAACATTTTAATTATGGTACAACTTATTATCGTCACGATCAATAAAATAACCTAAGAGAGCACTTACTAGAAAGTGTTTTATATCTCAGTTTTTATTTCATGGGTTCATCTAATAAGCATTAACTGATATATAAATATATATATATATATATATATATATATATATATATATATATATATATTTCGTTTGTGTAAATATACACTCACTCATTAGAGAATTCACAGTGAGAGCATACTCAATCGTTATTACAGTTTCATAATTCCCATACTAAATTCTGTTCATTTATCTGATTAGAAATCATTATACAATCGTATATGTATGAATAAAACACAATAATTGAATATTTTATATTATTTGAGCTGTATTATTTTAGTGTTACACTTCAAAATAAATAATTTCTTGGGTAGATATTATTTATAAATATTATAACTGTTAATTACTTTATTAATTTTACTTTTTTAATAACTGAGTACAAATTCATTTACCATTACATTTTATACATGTACAACTTCTTACTGACTGTCGTTTAACTGCCTAATTTCAAACCAGGTTGATGACGGTTTCGAAAAGATTATGGGCAGTGGATCTTGAACCTAAGTCTCTTGTCAGCTGTCAGTTAGGCATATTGACAGTCTTGAGGAAAATATTACTCTTTGTAGTAGTCCAGTCCTCTTAAGATTTACAAAACAGTGAAGTTAACTAGTAGCTGTGAATGATTCAAAAGACTTCCTATAGGACTATAAGATTTAAATGGATGATTCAGTGGGTAGTGACCGACAACATGTTTTTCTAGGTCTTAATATTTAGTTGTAGAATGATTGATGTTATTTAATGAGCATTGTGAAACAGATTGGTATAAATTTAGTTACTAATCAGTATCCATCAATACAGGCAAGAGCGTTCAAAATAAAACTTAAAAAATTTAATACACAAGAATATTACGTAAGTCAATAATAAGTTAAATTTGCAAAATTACCGAAAATATTCAGTCCACTAAATTTCATTTAACTAAAATGAAAATAATCTTTACAGATGTTTCATTTAACTGTCGGTTAATATAATTTTATGAGTAAAATTATCTCAGACTGATTTAGAACTTTCAGAAGCTGTAAACTTCGTTTAGTTTTAAGTATGTGTTTTAAATAAGTGGATTATTTACAGATTTCAGGGAATTGTACGTATACACATTTATGAATTCAACTTAGTGTTTTGGACTTTTGGGTTCGATAAATTTGTAGTTTGTGCGTCGAAATACTTCCATGTAATCGTAAAAAAATAATAGATAAACATCCAATTTTCTCTTCACTTTGTTAGTTGTCGGATTGCTATCAGTTTGTTATGAAATTCACCTGCAAGTTAATCAAGCCTTCCAAAAATGTACCCATTACAAAATCGTTCCAGGTCAAATTTTTGGTTTGTATTTAAGCTACTGATTGTTAACATAGTAGATACAAATGATTAAACAAAAATCCAGTTATTCTTAACAAATTTCGAAGTTATTGCAAAAGGTAAACTTTTAAGTTCATTATGCCTCTAAATAGTTGGCGTTAACTAGTGAAGAAATTATTTTAAAATCTAGTTCCTAAATCGATACTTGTTCGAATAATACTTGATTATTTGAGAAATGCATCAGTATTACTGTATTCTAAAATAAGTTCAAAAGATCAAAGTTTTTAAAGTCACTAAGAATTTACTTTATGAATAAGAAAATATGTTTTTTGAAAGATTTTTGTGTCACACTTTATATCTGTCATTAACTTAAGAAAAACAGTAAATCATTTTCACACTTCATTGCTTTTCCTGTTTTTTGATTGCTTGTTTAAAGACAACGTTTAAATGCGTTTCAAGCGTACGATATATTCCAAACTCTGAGTAAGCTAAAGACAGATTTAAGGGTTTCTATGTTCTATGCACTTATATACAGCACTGACCCTTTGGCTGATTGGATAGTTCATTGTACCTTATTCATACAATAAATCTAAGCAACCGATTAATTGGTTTAACCCAACACTTCATCTGATAGCATCAAAAAAGAATCTGATGCTTCTGAAACAAAATATCCAATTCAGTAAATAAGTTTAAGTGTTAATCTTCAATTTATTTTGTTATCAGTTTGATATTTAGCTGACATAAGATGAAATTCTGCTTAGAAAATAATTTTTAGGCATATGATTTGTTAACTGAATAGTTATTGATAAAGAAAACAATTAGAATGCTTCTTAAATGAATACAACCAAAAAGCTCCCACACAACACATATTCAAATATAACCTTATAAAATACTGTCATGATACTCATAGATTGATAACTCATGAATAATTTTAGATTATTACCTTACACAATGTTTGTTTGTTCTTTTTAAAAATGTGAACTTTTTCATTTCATAGGATTATTGATAATCATTAGTCAGGTGTGTCCAAAATCTGTTGAATAGTAAGTAAATTGTTCTAACTGACTAAAAGATTGTCGTATATGTAAGGTAAAAAAAAATTGATAAATCAATGAATTTCTAATATCAGGTACTGTTTTATGCAAAACAATCACGAATTTATTGATCTTTAGAAGAATAATAAACAGTTATTCCGATTTAACTATATCAGTAAACTGGTTTGTATGAGCTGAGTTCAGTTGTTTGAAAATTAACACAGCAAAATTCAAAGTTAGCCTTTGTAATTTACCATCAAGTTTAGTCACTTTCGGATAATAGGTTCATCTATTTACGCTTTGGTGGTAAAGACAATTGGTTTTAAACCATTAAGTATCATATTCAAATCAGCTACGTCCACATCGGTTTGGGCGAATGGTAACAAGTAGGCTTTTCTAAAAGTGTATCTCAAATTCGTGTATATAATTATGTACTCTGAAAATAATTTGTTAACAACTGTAGTGGTTATGACTGAAATCAGTGTCATGTTGTGTAATCCTCATTTATCATAGAATTTCATTAAAAGATATTCAAAACACTGATTAAACTGAATGAATTCCCAGAAATCAAACAACCTGCATCGTATACATGTTATTATAATTTGTCTGAATAGGTTTTTAGAACACAGTCATGAAACTATTTAAAAAAGTATGTTTAAAACGATTTGCACTGTTGTTAAATTCAGTAACAATGTTATGTTTTTTTGAGGTTGATTATTCCTAAGTGATACGATGAAACCGATTTCCTAAAAGGACTGAAACTGCTGCACTAAAACATATGAGTTTTCCTAAAGGAAAAAGAAATTTTGAAGCAAAAATAAATTCTATTAGTTTAGAATCTTTATCAAGATGAAAGTTTTCTATCCAAAACTAATGTTCATGAAAATTATCTCTGAAAGTGTTTTGCATTTAATCGTATCTAAATATTGTCTATTCTTAACGCAAGGAAAACTGATTAACGAAGAGCAGTGCCATATGGTAGGTCTACTGATATTGTTTTGAATACAAAATTAAAATACAGTATCGATAACTATATTTATGATGGTCTAATTAGTTTCATGTTTTGCAGTTATTGATATATTTCAAATATATAACAACAAAATTCTGTTTTCTTGTCCTGTTTTACAAGGTAATTACGTTTCTATGATATTTTGCCTACAGTTAAACATTGTATTTAGTTCTAATTGAAGTTCATGGTTTTATTATCGGCGATATCTTCTCTTCTGTTCAGTCAACACTAGCGGTGTAATATAGTATAAGATGACAATGTTTTGTGAACACTATTGAGTTGAAGGGACATGTAGAAAAATAACAGACAGTAACTTAATTATAACACTGACGACGTTCAGGTATGTTAAATGAAGCTGAAAAATGGATAATGATCGAGAATGTAGTCAAGTTATTGACTAAATTATTTAAGCGATTAACAAACAACTGAGTTGTTCCTGATAACGATTGATAATAACACTTTGATTATTAAGTAAAAAGGATCATCCATGTGTGGCAAAGCATCAAAGCCAACTGCATTGCAGCTATATTTGATATTCATTACTCTTTAACAATAAAACTATCAAGAAAGAAATAAACTCTTTTGAATGTATTTCAAATAGTTGTCACGTTCTCTGTCCAAGTTGAGGTCAGTAAATCTCTACACATCATAACTTGTTCTTTAAAGACCACATTTTTGTGATCTTTTTTGCTTTAGATTATTTACATATGAAACACTTAGTTAGTGCTTGAATGATTGATTTCATTTTCATTTTGTTTTAAGTAAGAGTCACTTATGCAAAAAAAACTTCAACAATTAAACCATGTGTTGTTTTTCAGTTTTGTTATTATTTAAGAATTTCATTACTTGTTGTGTTTGACATTTTCATAATTCTCATACTTTGTGCCTAAAAATGAAGCAAGCTTATGAGATCAAACATTTCTAAAAGAAAAACTTGTCAAAATACATAGAATCTAATTAAGTTTTCGTTTAATTAACTAGATAAGCAATAAAAAAAATTAAGTAATATCAAATAGGTTTATTTTTCTGGTTTGGAACTCCTCATTGATGGTTATTTTTGGCTTGATAGGAAATAAAAAT